CAACATACGATAAATGTACATATGTAAAAACACATTGGTACATGACGGGATTAGAACTCAAGACCTGCAGATTGCAAGTCAACTGCTTAACTCCTGAATCATTGACACTCAACGAGTTTCTTACTCTTCTTAATTGTGATTTTTTTGTTTTCAGGAAAACACCGATGCTATTGGAACAGGTGATAAATATTTTTCAATTTAATTCTAATACATTTTTACTAATATCATAAATACGAATGTTTGGATGGATGGATCTTGATGAAATTTGTCATAAATGTAGAACATAGTCTGGAAGAACACATAGACTATTAAGTTTTTAATATAAATTTACTTGTTGATATCAAAAATGTATTTAAAATTCTTTTTCAGATTATCCATCGACAAGTCGAGGTGGAATTTAAATAAATCCCAAATATATATATCCATTTTATAAAAAAAAACAACACTAGACCTTTCATCTAACTTCAGGTTCGCATTGAAAAAAAAAACATGTATAAAAAACATATTTAATTAATCGCCTATTTGATAAAATTAAAAAAAAAGTATTACGGTAATGAAATTTCACATCTTTTCAAAGAAAATCTCATTATTTATCTAATATGGATTACGTACAAGTATATTTGACCTAAAGTCAAACTGTATAGCTCACTAACGCCCCTCTGTCAGTGTCAAAACTCTCTAAAAATCCTCTTTGTCACTTCATTTTTTCTTTTATATAACTTTCTATGTCTTTCCGTTGGTTTTTTGAGACACAAAATTCTTATAAAACATCATATCTCTGTTTTATACAAATATTTAGGTCTCGGAAACCCACGGTAAGTTTGTTCTGACAGATTAACCGCGATAGTAGCGCCCCTCACTTGTTTGTTTTTAATAAAAATGTGTCAACCCTAATATTTGTACAGCCCTATTATAAAAAAAAAAACATTAACTTATAAATATTTCTCATATATTAAATTATAACTAAAGATGTTCATTTCGAACTGAAAGTGTAATTTAAATTAAATTTGACATAAATAAAAAGAATAAGTAAAATAAAAAAACATAAATATAACCTATTAGTAAAGAAAACACAAAAATGAGGCAAAAAAAAACAATCAGATTCCATTTTTCGAGGTAAATTACCTCAGTTTTATCATTCATAAGATAAAATAACACGTAGAAAATCATTCTCTATTTGAAATATTCCATTTATATGTCATTTAAAATTAAAATACAAATAAATTAACTCTTCATAAAAAAAATTAAAAAAAAAATGTGTTTAAATTGATTTCTTTTGTAGTAGTTTCATTGTTGTTAAGAAAAAAAAATCTCTTATTCGTGTACAATTTAAAATACAGATTAAAAAAATTATCAGCTGTCATTTCTTAATGGCGCCAAATACGTACAGAAATAATTAGTAATAAATCCATTGAAAATTTTATTTATTTTAACGAAATTATGTAATATTTGACGTTTAGACAAAAAAATAAAAAATTTGAGGTTATATTTTTTGCGATAATTGTGTTCATACAACTTTTGTTTGACAAATCGTAAGTTTTTTAGGAGAAAAATTCTGTGCAAATTATTTGTCATTCTGTATTTTTATGTAGATTTATTATCTGTAGAATTTTTTAGGAAATTATGATATTAAAAATATTAAATTACGATTTCTTTATTATGCTTTCTCCTGACAGATTTTTACAATGGTTTATGGTATTAGTCAATTTTATTTCTATAAAAACATTAGTTTGTTTCTTGATCGCCATTTTTTTAAAAACCAAAATGATTTCTTGTAGTTTTTTTTTCTAAATTATAAAAGAGTATGAATTAAAATTGATTATTACCATAGAAATTTTTGTCTTTGAATTTATTTCTGGCAACATTGTCGTTTTAAAATTCTTTTGCACAAAAAATGCGGTTCAAGTTTACTTTGTGTATTCATAATAATTTTCATCTTGAAAAATGTAATTTAAATATATTTTTTACAAACAAAAATGTTGTTTTCGTTTCAAATAAGGTTGTTAATTTTGTTTAGTTATTTGTATTTATTACTCGATCCGGAGTTTTGCTGTAAGATTAATTTAAACAGTTGAATAAAATTTATATTTTAACATTATTGTTGTTTTACTCTGTGACTGTGGTGACGGACATTTTGAATTTTTGCAGTATTTTTTTCAGCCA